TGTTTCTCACCAGGTGTTTTCAGTTCATCAATTAGTTGTCAGTGTATTTAAGTCCTGTCTCGTCTCAGTCTTTTGTCGGTTCATTGTGTTCTATTCCCCCTGCCTGTGTGATCCTCGTACCTCACTGTAAGTTTTATCTGTCTCCACAGCAGTTTTTTGTTACTTTAATATACCTTTTTTTGTTCTACTTTTGGAGCCTGCACCCTGGGTCTGTTCCTTGCCTGATTTTGACACCTCTCTCAAGCTGCGGCTCGGTCCGACTYGGTCTTCCTGTCTGCAGCTGGACTGGAGCTCCACGTTCATCGCATTTATCAAAGACACTAAAATAACTTACTAAACTTCACCGTAACTATGAAGTATAGTTATACAAATATAAGAAATTTAATACATTTCGGATATCTCATTGCTGACTTCCGATCGCGCTGTCCCTCCATCGCAGCTGAACTTTATTCAACTTCCACTTTTTATTTTTATCCTCCTGTAGATTTTTGCTGCTTGTCTAATATTTTCAGGCTTCAGTCAAAAAGGAGTTTGGGGGGTTTAGGTTTGTTCGGCGGGGTGGGGGTGACACCAGAGGGTGGAATGAGGTGATTTTCCCCCATGAATCAGCCCTCTTTTACATCCTCCTGCTGCAATGTGCTTCAAATATGACGAACATTAATAAAAAGAGCCATAATTTTATTTAATATAAAATTTAATCAGTGTAAAATGTATTTATTATTAATTCAGTTAGAATGAGTGGAGCACTCGTAAACTACACAAGATAAGGGCATTTTTCAGATAGCAGATCCTCCACTTTTTCACTTCCTGACCTCCATCCGAACTTCGCGCTCTAGTGGCGCTGCATYGTGACRTCACGTGAAACCCTCCTGTTGGGCACAGTCATCTGCTTGTCCTGACTCATCTCTTCCCACTTCTGCATGCGCTTGTATGACTCTCTTAGAAAGACTGCCATATCATTAAGCAGTGAAAAGAAAGATGCACTTTCCACAACACTGCCTGTTGTGTCTGCCAGTACAAGATTCAAAATACTGTATGTGCATTTCATTTCATTCATTTCATTTCATTTATTTCTATAGCGCTTTACACAACCACAGTGCTGGTGACCAAAGTGCTTCACAGAGTCCGTGATTAACACAACAAGAAGTTAAAAACAAGAAAACACAACAAAATAACAAAACTAAAACCAGAAATGTCACCACATTTTAAGTACTAAAAGCCTGTTGGAATAAAAAGGTCGTAAGCTTCGATTTAAAAGGGCCAAGTTCAGTGACCAAAAGTAGATCAAGAGGGAGTTGATTCCAGATTCCTCCATAAACTATAAAGTCTTACCCCTGACATTCAAAACCCTTGGACTTTCTTTCATTGGGCTGTTGAACTGAAAATATTGGATGTGGCACATACTGCTGCTTATACTTTTTTTTTTTGTGTGTGACTATTTATTTCCCAAACACAGCTTAGGAAATTAAGGGAAAAAACTTAATACTGTACATTGTTATCATTGTTATCGATACAAAATGTGAATACTTTTGCTATTAATTGTTGTTTGATTATTTTTCTGTATCTATTACCATCAATTTTTTCTTGATTCCCTTACAAGAAACAACAGGAATCTGTGAAACTTAATTTGCATTGTCCAGTATCAAGATATTTATTTCACAGTCACACTGGTTGAATTTTTAGCTAAAAAGTTACTGAATCGATTTTAAGTCACTGAATCRTTTCGGATCRTTTTAAATGAACCAAGATCATCCTTGAATCGTATCAGTAGTCATGAATCATGATACAAATCGAATTGTTGTTGAAACGAATCGTGTAGGATTTAAATTAGCTCATATTTATCTACAAACACATAAAACTGTTGTCTTCATAGAGAATGCCCTCCCTGAGAGTTTTGGGGAAAAACAATGAAAAAAAATCTGAGACAGCTTTAATTTACTTTTGTTTTGTTCAAACAAATATAACTGTTTTGTGTCAGTTTGTACCAGTAAACACACACCTGTTGATTGATGTTATCTTCCGGGTCATCCACCAGAAACCGGGACCAACACCCCACCCCCCAGAGCCACCCAGACCCCCAAAACCTGACCCCAGCCCCATAGCCGGCCCGCCGCCCAGACAGGCCACCGTTCCYCAGCAAGGACGACCCGGCCAAGAGCGCCCACCCAACCGTAGAGAGTGGTTATAGTAAAAATAAATGCTTGATTGTTCACACACACACACACACACACACACACACACACACACACACACACACACA